ACGTTGAAAAAAAAATTTAAAAAAAAAAATAAAAAAAAAAGAAAGGGACGGTGAGCAGTGGCTAACACTGCCCAATTCCTTCTCCAAAAGAAATGTGTACCGACAGTCACAAAAACTTCCTCTCTCTTCCTTAACTGACTTCAGAAATCATTGATACAGCATAATGCTATGAGAGCAGTGTCAGTCACTTCATTCACCTGAGTAACTTTCCATTTAAGCCCAATTATTGTGTAGTGCTGGAACAATTGTTTGTATTATTAAGTCTGCCCAACGGAAGAGGCTGCGTGTTAATTTACTACAACACAAAAGCAACATCACATGTTCTCGGCCCTCACAGTTCTCAGCCTCATGACACCAAGCTGTTGTCTCACAGGGCTGCGTTAAAATCATAAATGAAACTAAAAAGACCACAAAACCCAGGTGAGGGGAATTTAGTGCAGGTCTCTGGCTATATATGCCATCATCCAGCTACATCCTTCCAGACAAAAGCCAACATTTGCTAAACATTTACCATGTGTTTAATACCTTTACACATATTAACTCAGTCTTCATCACAACCCTGTCAGCGAGGTACTGTTAATATTTCCTTTCTGCACATCAGGAAATGGAAACTGACCAAAAGTCATACGGGTAGAAAATGGCAGAGCCAGGAGTGAATCCAGAAGCTATATGCTCAAGATAAAAATATTATCTATTTTGATCACTAGACTGCAATTGCACTTTCCAACACTATTGAAGGGACACTCACTCTAAAGAGCTCAAAGTGGGGAGTTGTGATGGGAAGAAAGTTGATTGCACTGGTTCACACACTTCAGGGCAGGTGACGGTTTGGAGGGGCTTTTCTTTCTTTCTATTTTTTTTTTTTTTGAAATTTATTGTCAAATTGGTTTCCATACAACACCCAGTGCTCATCCCAAAAGGTGTGGAGGGGCTTTTCTTACTGCATGCCAGGTAGATCCAGCAGTGAGCTCTGATTTTTCCAGGAGGACCACATCCTTCATCCCTGCTTTGGCCAGGTGATAAGCCAGACTCACACCAATGCAGCCACCTCCAATTATCACAGTTTCTGCTCTGTCTTTCCATCTTGTTTCCGCAGACAAAGGTGCGTTTTCCTCTCTGGAAGACAATTTTTGTAAATGGTAGTTTTATTAGGCTATGGCAGCTGTAGTTTTTCTGACTTGTTTCCTGTTTCTTCTCCTTTTTTCTCTAGTATCTTAACAGTGCCCGTGAGGGTTGCATAGCGCTGATTTAGTCATTGGGGCATCTAAACCCTGATTGAAGCAACCTGGTTAAAGAAGGAAAGAGGAGGACTTTGAAACCCGTTCCATATAATTCTGGTCCATTGTAGATAACAAATATAGCTAAAGAATTGAACATGACTTCTATTTTTTTTTTCCCAAAAGAGTTAAAGAGTAGTTTTTTTTTTTCAGTCTACTTGGAGAACACACATAATCATTCTATTCCAAGAAAAACCATTATTATGAACTTTAGCTCCTGTAAGTCTTGGATCATCTCCTCCATCCAATGCTTTCCAGGCTGCGGAGAGCCAGACGGAGTAAAATGTTCTTCTTTGTTTAACTTCCTCACCACGTACAGCCTCCTCTAATTTTATAGTTACTGCTCAGTGGTCTCATATATTTATTTG